TAAACTTATCCACCCGGTCGATAAAGTGTACAGTCCTTGTGTCCGTCTACAAACCGTATATAAACGGCGGTGGAATATATAAGAAATAAGTTACGGAGAAATATCGACAATATAAGATGACGAAGACCAAACAGCGGTTAACATTATTCACTGGGATGTTCTTTGAAACCAATTATTCCTTATGGAGTGCATGCTGCTGAGGCTTTTTCGATCCAATTCTGCACGAACGCCTGACCATGATTTTGACTGGTGCATTTCGTCTTTTGCCTATCCTCTGATTCATTTAGTCAAGTGTGTTTCCTCTTCTTACAACTGCTATGCGTTGTCTTCAGGATTTGTTTGTACGAGATGACATGATGCTCTATTCCTATTGACGTTTTTCAAATGTTCTATTTTTTCAAATAGTAATTCTTCTCGAATGGTAATTTTTCAACATTTCATCAGGAACTGTGACTGACTTTAACACGATCCATTGACCTTCAGATGTCATTGTTTTAATCGATTATCTTTAAGGGCTGGAAGATGTCATTTGCACTGAAGCTTATGTAATAAACTGCTGTTGTTGGAAAATCAAAAAACTTCGTGCAGCTGTGTCGCAGATGGGTTCTGTGGTATGGGATACCCTGCGAATTCGATACTTGCTCTGTGTGAATCACTTAGTGTACCCAAGTTGAAAGTTTGTGATTACACGAGATCTGCGCTTCCCTGCAAGCGTGTTTGCATTGGCATCTAATTTCCTACTGAAACCGGATTGTCAATACTCCCTTGGTTATTTCTTAGTTAGTTATAACAAACCGTTTGGCTTGTTTTAGATTGGTTTATCTGTTTAATCGACTGTAAGAGGGTGTTTGATGTACTGTATTTCGTTGAAGATGTAGACAGTCTTAAAATGCTACGAGATACCTGAACACATCGTTCCACTGTGAAAAAGATATATGCAGAATCCATCTTACATTGTCACAGTTGAAGGAGTGCTACGCTGTTCTTTATTAACTATGAAGTTTTGCGAGATAGATGTAGGTTTTCCATTATAAATTAACAATATTTTCGATTATTATTATTCTGTATTTTAGTGCTAACACTGACAAAGAGGAAGGTCTCGTTGTAGAAGGAAAGCAAGATATTCGGCTAGATATCTTATGTCTAGATATGTCTCTGTACGCAGATAATATTGTCCTGGTGAGTATTACAAGAAACGGGCTCTGTCACTTGGCCGCTTCCGTATGCGGCATGATTGTAAGACCCGGCTTCTTGTGTAGCGCAAAGTACCTCAAGCGTCGATGAGGAAGCCATCTGGGACCACTGATTTCCATGTAAAACAGGAAGGTGAAGCGCTCGAGGTGATTCACCAAAACCAACTTAGATATCTCGACTCCATTTTGTCCAATGATGGCATTATGCAGCTTAGTTAAGGATAGGTTAGGACAGGAGATTTTCCTAGCCTGGAGTGCTACTGGAAACCTGTCCAATACTTGGGGGAAAAATGAGTTACTCTTTCGAAAATCCGCATGTATCTTGGCTCTGTCAGGTCAACGTTGTTGTATAGCATAGAGATAGCTCGTCTAATGAAAGTTCAATAACGGTGCCACTTCGTACAGCAGTTTCGGCTTCAACGTATGATAAGGTTTAAATTGAAGCATAGCGTAAAAAATGATTCCATTCTATCCCGGGCACAGGTGACCCCGTTAGATATAAAGGTTGAGAAAACGAAGTTGACTCACGTAAACAAAGTAGTTCAGCAGACGCCACTTACTCCAGCCGTTGATCTTCTCATGTGGGAACCGAAGCATGATAAATGTCAACCGGCTGGATAGCATTGCAACACTGAGGAACAAGGGTGGAAGAACATTTGTTTTCGCAGGGGGGGATTTTTCTTTCTGGGACACAGTAACCAGTGTCTTATAATAAAAATTTTCAAAAGCTACGAATACAGCGCATATCACAAGCAAAAGATATTGTGCATATGCAAACGGCAATATGTACTGGTAGTAAAAATCTAACGTTTCCACTTTCCCTGTCTCTAACCAGAGACCGATTATGCCGGAAGAGAAACGAAGGAACGCTTTTTGATGCAATCCCGAAATGCTGATGGCCATCGATGATTGAAGGATATTGTTGAAGCAGAATGTGGGTGCCTTGTTGTCAGCGGTCCTTCGAGATACAGACATGAAAGGTTCATTCCGAAATTCGACTCAGAAGGATTATCTCTGACGCTAACCCGTCACCACCAAATCGAAGCAGAAAATTTTGAATATCTTACCCTACGTAACCAGAAACCTGGACAACAAGAGCACTGCTTCCGAACCAAACATAACTTTCTCGACGGTTGTGCGGTCAATCTGACGTACGATGGAGCAAGGCCACTGACTGCAAATCTGTGGACAATATATTAAGGACGTCTGGTGACGTTTGGCCGGCAAAACAATAACGAAGCCGTTGTTATTTAAAGATGTTTCTTTCGTTCCTGATTAAAAGGTTAGTTAAAATTGTAAACAGCAGGTCAGATAACACAGAAGATCCTGTTGTACTCCTCCGACCATCGAGTTAAAGAAGTTGCTATTCATATTAAAATTAAAATGGTTTTTTTATGAATACAATGTATGCAGTTGTCGTTTACGCACCATGCGGAACTATGAAACAGCAACGGCGGTTACACCTTCTGCTGATTATCACATTACATGAGCCACCTTCCAGTTGGTCACGGAGAATTGCTGTCCTCTGAGGTGCTATCATCAGACAGCTCGGTATTACACCTCGCCAATTCAAGTACGTTCACACAAGAAAACCATGTTGTCATTGTTTTCGCAAGTCAGCTACCGACTGCTCATTTTCCGCTAGTTGGGTCGATGCAACGTGGGGTGAATTCTTCAGTCACTGGAGCTAGCGGTTATGCCAAATTTTGTTTTTTTCGGAATTCGAACCCGACACCTCTAGAGTTCGAAGCTATTCTCCATGTTATTATGTCACAGAGTCCCCAAAAATACAGCAATACCGTGCTATGTTCACTCTTGCCAAGCCTCTTGATCACACTGTCTCTGTTAGTTTTCATGGCGCCAACGCTTCATCAAGTTCGCCGTCAGAAACATAAGACAGGATAGATATGACAGGTGAACAACTAAGGTGCGGCGAAGAATCGATAGCTGAATAATTTTAGAAAATTACCGTCTACATCCAGTTCTTGCAGGTTGGCGTTATCGTATACGGTTGAACCTTGTTATCGGCGGTGCTGCTAGGGCATTCCAACACGAAAGATTTCGCTACATTCGATAGATCCAAATAGTACAGTATAGATGATGGTCATGTAGACATCCTGATGAAATGTAATGATGTATCATATGACAATCGCTCCTCATGGATGAACAAGGTAGACGTCGATCTGTTTTCGCAGAAAGACTGTTCCTTTTGCGGTGCGATAACCGGTGTCTTATTTTAGAGTATTGAAAAATTACTGCATACAAATGGCAGATAAATCTAAATAAGTGATGCATAGGAAAACTCTCGCTCGGGGGTAGTGAACGTATGAGCAAACAAAATTTACAAAGTTGCCTGCGGTCACACGCTCGGCCATATTTGTTACAGACAAACGGAGCAATTGATTTTCTTTTATTTTCTGATAGAATTATGATGAGACACTCGTTCACGGATTTGAGTACAAATATTTTCTAAATATTATCAGCTGAAAACTATTAATTGATCATAGGATGAGATGTAGCTCCTGTTGCCGAAGACGATCTGATTCGATATTTCTTTTGCTGCAATCCATTCGGAGTTGAATACTGTTTGGAAATGTATATGAATTCAGAATTTTGGGTGCTGGTCGAAGTTACGGCTTGTAGCATCGAGCCCAAACAAGTTTTTGTTCATAACATCTTTCTGTGACACATCCTCGGTCATTTACTTCATTTGCGTATTTTGTTTGAAATATTGAAAGGGCCGTGGGCAGTTACTGCTGAAAGGTTGTCGCTATTCAGATAGCACATTGAATTCAAAATTTTGAAGTAAAATTCTGCTAAAAATATGTTCATTAGGAACGAGTAATTTCCTCGTTAACGATTATAAATACTGTACCAAACGCCATGGGCAAAGTTTTAAACATGACTCCATCGCCGCCAGTTCCGTGTCCGCATGAGAAAGGAGGATGTTTCCGTACCGTAGCAACGTCTCTCGTAAAACGTTGTCCTCTGCCATTCGTAGCATTGCCATTGGGGGAACGGAGGTATAGGGTAAAAACTCAGCGATTATAACCTGCTTCTCACCTTCTGGCGTCTGTGAGAGTAGCAGGACAACAATAACAACTGAAAATCGACAGTAGGACGAGAAGATATCAGCCAGCAACGGAGTCGGTACAAGTTCTCAACGGAGAAAGCAGACAGCATGATCCCGCTATAGCACGTCAGACAAGGCTCCACGGAAAAGATACTGATGTGAAACATCTGCTGAATTATAGAAGCATCTCCACACTCAGAGAGAATCAGCAGAAGTTAGTTGATGATGTTTCAAGGTACCGACTGGGTATAGTTAAACTCTTGTTAACAAAATGCCAAGGCTCTGAAATCTATATATCTTTGTTCCAGATAGTCCATGGCGATATCATAGGCTTGATCAGCTTATGCAGGCTTAAATGAAAGATCATTCAGGCCATAAGTATTCGGGAGAGGACCGGAAGTTGTACCCTGTACGTTAACGGCAATGACGTATAGTATCGAAACACTGAATGACTAATGGCATGGTACGCGAGGGAAACAGACAAAACGACTACTCAGGAAACTTCACCTTTTATTTTCTTCAAAATCGGTTTACTGATCAGTTTAGAAAAACGGCGGCGGACGGAATATTCAGCATACACAGCTCACGAACGGCAGCTAATTACGATCTGTTTTGCCTTAGTCCAATTCAGGCACCGATCGGAACATGCCAGCTATGCAAATAAACCATTATTGCATCACTGCTGAATGCTCACACATCCTTCAGTCGATGTGAGAAAAATAGTGGTTCGGCTGCTTGCAGGATAGCTCGGATATACGGTATCCTGAAAGGTATGACGGTAAACCTGTTCTCGTCCATCAGCTATGCGCAAGCTCATAGACAAATGTTTAAAGAACACTCCGAACAGCAACTGAAGACAACTAATACCGTTCTACCAATGGCAGTGTCATAAACGTTTCAACGCTGAAATTCAGAATGTAATGGTTATTAATGTTTGCGACTCTTTTTGTACAAAAAGTATTTCATTGTTTCGTTTGATTACGCTTTGCAATTTGACTACATATTTCAACAAGGAAACTGAACTTTTATCTGAAACGAGTGAAACAGTTGCTTTTTAGTGAAAAATGCCGAAACAACTGATAACTTTTGATTGAGTAGAATTGTTCCAATTTTTCATGGAAAGATGGCAGACATGCTTCACGGATATTAGTGATTATTTTATAAGAGAATTATTGCTTACCAGTTGACATGTTTATTTATTTTACGAACTAAAAAAGCCTCATCAAAGTCAGGCTGAAATACAATGCATTTGGCAAGATAACTATATCTCTATCCCATTCCTTTTGAACATAAGATGTCGAAGTGCCTTACTGGCAGAGAAACTGAGCTACAAGGTAAACAACGCTAAGATCATACCTTGAGTTAGTGTATTGCTCCACTTGGCCGCGCACACATTTCATATACATTCAAGTTTGTGTGCCTAAGGCTGTGATGTAAATGAGGTTACTGACGGACTGTAGACGTACCTTCGCTACAAACAGAATTTGCCGATTAAGATCGCCAGCGACAGCTTATTACACCAGCCAGAAACGAACTGAGTGCTAAATGTAATTCAAGTTTGAGTTACGGCAAGAGAAAAAAGTTGTTTAAAGATAGCAGACTAAATGGCTCAACAAAATTGCAAAATATCACCAAGAGACAATATTTGAGAACTTTGCTGAATGGCAGCAACTTCTTTGCCCCTGACCGTAGGTGATAACTGTGAGAATTTGCATATCAAATAAACATAAGCAGGCGATTGAAATCGCTTAAGCAACTTGCACACTTAATAAATTCGTCGTTCCACATTTCCTCAGCATATTCTTAGGACAACCAGAGGCACCGCAACGATGGCTGGGTTTAGCTATAGAGAGGACGCGATACTCATTACATCGAAACGTGATCTCAATGCAATATTGATTAGAGTGTCTACCTCTGTAACACAGTTCTTTCATACACAGTAAGGCGCAATTCCGCCTATGTGCTGCAGGTGTTGTATTTAACAGAGCTGTACTCACATTTATAGACTTCCTGCTGAACCGTTGAGGAGCGATGCGATCATGTGCCTGTAAAAATGAGCGATTCGCATACGTTACAGTCGCTGACGTTCTTAGAAGCTAACCTCTCTGCTAAATCCAGCATATGACAAGGACTAGCACTTTACAGTAGACTTTCAATCTAAAATTTACCTAAGATTTCGGAAGTTTAGTCAACAGGGATTAAAGTTGAAGCACAGAAAAATGAGTTTTAATTATATACTGTGCGAGGGTGTGTTAAAGCAGTGCACGATAACCCTTTGAGGTTCAATGTATTCACGTTGAACGAATGTTCTCGACTTCATGACAATGTAAGTGAGTTTCGAAGCAGATGCTGTAAATTGCTCTGTGTGACAAGCGTCAACGTACCTCTACCGATGTGGGAGGATTAATCTGTTCCTGATTCAAAGGGCAAATGACCAGGTGTCTGGAGTAATCTTGCATATTTTCAGGAACCTGAGATATGCACTTTGAGGTAAGCACGGAACATTTCTTAACTGATGACCCTCTGATGGAAGTAAACGATTAAAATATCACAAAATAATATCATTGTGAGGGTTTTACATTTTGGTACTTACTAGTGCTTTTTCTTGGATATATAAGCGTGCCGTTGGTTTTTTTTAGAAACCCAGCAATTCAACTTTTGGCCGTTAAAGGATACGACGGACTAATTTTTGGAATCTTGCACTAGCAAGACGTCATTGGAGCAGTTTTCTCAACGACTCTCCAGTTAATGTCTTTATAACTTCCAACTGTTATAAAAGGCAGTCGAGCGATTCAATAACTCAATAACATAATGAGCTAACCGAAACTACAAACAACTATTCAAAAATGAGGAAAACTAGCACCGCTAAAATCTGAACCATTCAATGAAACAGAAAATATCAGACATACGATCGCTTACCGAAGTTGAAGCACTAAAGGCTTATATTTACATTTACAAAGTTACGCAACGTCACTTATGGAAACAGTGAAGTGTTCAAGAACTGGTTTGGGAACCATCGAAATACGTGAGGTTAAACACCTGTGATGGTCAAGACAGGGATAATAGTATCATCAGCATGCATGGAATGTGCTGAAGCCATGTTGTATATCATCTTCGATGCATTATATTTGAAGGAACAACGTAGGACGGGATTCACGTGACAAGAATTAGGTTACTTTGCTTGCAAGAAGTTCTACAACCGACAACGTACTACTTTTGTGATGGGCTCCTTCTTCATGTGCCGAAATCCTAGTAGCTATAGTTTCTCAGATATGATCAGAATACCATGACTGAAACAATCAAAGTTGGCTGACTTTGTACACTGATGCTGTGGAAAACCCCTGTTCGAGGTCAGAGACTACGAGATTCAGCCGCATTTAACTCTTCTTTACAACAGCTAGAGATCACTCATGACACACCGTCAAGTGTAGGAAGACTGACAGACCAGTGTGAATATTTCTGCGCCGTCAAGTGACATAGTGCGTTTGATAAATCGATCGATGGGTTGTTTTCTTATTGCATGAAAATCACGTCTATTCATTTTTGACCGATATCATGAAAATTGAACATTATTCCTGCACGAAAGGCGGTTTTCGCGTTGCAAGGTGATTCGAGGCATTGCATCAAGGTGGTAGAACATTTCACCGTTCAAGCACCTCTTCACATGGATGAAAAACTCGGGTTGTCTCACAGTATCTATCTGCAGGTTAACGTTTTGGTCGAGATCGGCAACATTTCCTATTACAATCAGACTGCCTCGGCAGTCGGTCATCACGGCATCGTCTCAGCCACGTATT